CGATCGGTTGCTGGACGGTGTACTTGGCTTCTTTCGGAGCTCTAATGAATCGGACTATGATCCAAGAACCGGCTGTCTCAAAGCTTATAATGAGTTCGCCAGGTACCACAACAGTTATCTCAAGCGAGAACTGTAGATTCTGAGATAGAAATATGGCGGGAAAATTGTCTAAAAAGTTTGCCAATTCAGTCATAAACCTTTCACTTCTTGCTAATTCAGTCCTAAACCTTTTAAGTTTGCCAATTCAGTCTTAAACCTTTTAAGTTTGCCAATTCAGTCATAAACCTTTCACTTCTTGCCAATTCAGTCTTAAACATTTTCACTTCTTGCCAATTGAGTCCATCCGGCCAATTTTGGTGCCTGACATGGCAATTTTTAAATTTTTTTTCGAATTTTTTAATCTTTTTTTTTTCTTTTTTTTTTTTCTACCTCTCTTCCCTCTGACCGGTCTAATGACCAGCTAGAGGTGTGGGCTAGTGAGGTCGACCTTGCTGGCCTCTGGCAAAGCTCGCCCCCTCTAGCCACTTGCGAGGGCGAGCCTCGGTCACCGCTGCCAGGCCGACCTCACCTAGGCAAGGCGAGGCCAACCTGTGACGGTGCTGGCCGGCCTCGTCTTAGCTAGGTGAGGTCGAGCCTCGACCAGCCATGGCAAGGCTGACCTTGCTATCATTGGGTTTCACCTCGCCCAACCAAGGCGAGGTAGGCCTGGAAGCAGCATGCCAGTTTCACCAGAGGCTGGTGAGGTTGACCTCGCTGACCCGCGCCTCTGGCCGGTCGTCGGACAGGCCAAAGGGAAGAAGGGCAGAAAAAAAAAAAGAAAAAGAAGAAAAAAAGATTCATTCGAAAAAAAATATTAAAAAATTGCCAGATGGCCAGCGGCCACGTCAACACCGGCCGGCCAAAATTGGCTGGATGAACTCAATTAGCAAGAAGTAAAAAGGTATATGATTGAATTGTCAAATTTAAAAGATTTAGGATTGAATTGGCAAAAAGTGCAATAGGTTTAGGACTTTTTGGATAATTTTCCCGAAATATGGCCATGCTAGAATTATGTATGCCGATTACTATGGAGCCGCCATGCGTTTCTTTGTGCAGCCAAAACAGTATGGTGAGTTTTCCTTCATCCTAGTTTCATAATTCACTGAGTAGCATCGAAATTATTTGAAAGTTTGTGGTACTTTGTGGAGTTATAAGGATGATTATGGAGATCGATGTCTTATTGTTTGTAGGATTCTATGGAGGAACACAAGAAGCTTGTTGCAGAGGTGGTGGACCATACAATTTCAACCTCGCGGCCATGTGTGGTTCCAACGGCTCGGCTCTGTGTACAGATCCATCGACTGTCGTGAATTGGGACGGAATTCACTTGACTAAGGCCGCATATCGGCACATAGCCGAGGGCTTACTCTACGGTCCCTTCGCTTCTCCACGTCTCATTGTCCCAAAGTCCACCCTGACCGATGCATTAGCTTCAATCCTATTCCCAAAGATGAACTTGTGCTCGTGGTCATAGAGTCATAGAGAGTCGGAGGTGTTTGGCGGATTTACATTTTATCGTTTTACCTTTTTGTTCTTGTTTCTAGATTTCCACTCTTTAGCTTCTTCTTCTTCTTGTTTCTTTTGGATAATCATTCATGTGATGCGTGGTGAATAAGGATGGAATCAAAAGCTTTTCTTCCCATTTTTCGTCTCTCTCATTCTAATCCAATTCTCCTTAAATCCACTGACTATAGACCTGCTCCGCCGTCCTCACACCCCATGGTCGCCGCCAACCTCCATCAGAACATCCACATCACCTCTTTCTCACTTTCTCTCTCTCTCTCTACCAGCTTGCCCTTGTGATTGAGATCTCAAACTCATATCAAAGGCTCCTGCCTTGACCCGGATTGGAGGCTGCCTAAGGCAGGGCGGCCAATCACAACGCGAACCGTGCGACTTTTCATTACACACACGGAGAGAGAGAGAGAGAGAGAGAGAGAGAGAGAGAGAGAGAGAGAGAGAGAGAGAGAGAGAGAGAGAGAGAGAGAGAGAGAGAGAGAAGTGATGAGCAACAAAGGCGGCGATATGCTCAGAGGAAGAGAGGCAGAGAGAGGAGAGATGCAATTGGAGGGAAGGAATGGGACGTTTGGTAAAGGTGGGCGATATATTTATGGTGAAAGTTCTGTGCAACAAAAAATAAAAAAGTTTTAGAGAGAAAGTGTGCCACGTGATTAGATTATTATTTTAGCGGTGTGCCACGTAAGATGGCTAAAAATGACTGGACCGCTATATCAACAATTTCCAACAAAAAATTGGCCGAATGGATTACATCATAATTTTGTACAAAGGTAAATTAATTTGGCAACATTAAAATTTTTAGGACTGAATTGGTATCCGTACAATAAATTTAAAACTGATTGGATAATTTTCCCAAATTTTTTTGCATACATGCCATGTTTGTACACTTTTGCTGGTAAATTTCAAAAGAAGCCCTAAGAAGGCAAACAGAAAATTACCAAAAGGTCATAAACTTATTACATTCGTACTAATTTAATCATAAACCTTTTAATTTGGCCAATATAGTCCTAAACCTTTTGACAATTTGCCAATTCAGTCCTAAACCTTTCAATTGTGACAATTTAATCATAAACCATTTAACAATTAACAATTTAGTCCTAAATCTTTTAACGATTTGTCAATTTAGTTCTTCCGGCCAATTTTGGCTGCAAATCGCTAACGTGACGGTCTAGTCAACGCCATCCGTTCTATTGGTACGATTAGCGCTAACGTCGACAATTTTTTAAATGTTTCTAAATTTTTTATTTCTTATTTCTTTTCTTTTCTCTTCATTTCTTTTTTCTTTCCTTCTCTTTTTCTAACCTTGGGCCAATGACCCTCACCTTATCTAGGCGTGGGCCTCTGTGCCCTTGTCGGCCAGGAGCGAGGACTGCAATCCTCGCCCATTGGCCAGTGAGCTCCACAACCCTCCCTTGTCTTGGCAAGGGCTGTGACCCTCACCTATTGGCCGGTGAGGATGTCATAGCCCTCACCTAGAACTAGGCGAGAGCATTAGGCAAAAGTCACCAGCCCTTCCTTGTGGTCGACGAAGATTAGCTGGCGACCTCGCCGGCCTAGGGTTAAGAAAAGAAGAAAAATTTAATAAAAAAATTCAGAAAATTTAGCAAAATCGTCCATGTTAGTGATTCTCGCTAAAATTAGCCGGAATGACTACATAGGTAAATCATCAAAAGGTTTATGACTAAATTGGCAAATTGGCAAAAGTTTTAGAAGTCATTGGCACAATTGAAAGGTTTAGGACTAAATTGGTATAAGTGCAATAGATTTAAGATTAAATTGGCTAAATTGAAATATTTATGATTGAATTGGCACAAATGTAATAAATTTAGGGCTTTTTTGATAATTTTCCCGAAGAAAAACAATGGGCTAGAAGATGAAAGAGATAAGTGTATATATATATTTTTTATTACAGTTGAGAGATATACTAAACTAGGCTATTGTACAAGCTGTCACTTTCGTGCTTAAAGCAGCGGAACAGGTTGGGCTAATGAGTATGGTTGGTTGCGGATGGCATGGTGAGTGTCTGACTGAAAAATTAATACATGGGACCAACAACTTCCCTTGAACAAATTACTACCAATCACTCATAGGCACAACCAATCACATTTTTACATGTAATAAGTTTAATGTTGGGGGGAGCTGAGATATTTGTTTCAATTTATGGGGTCTACGAGAGAATGACACATACAATGTCCAAGAATAAACAAATGGTTAAGAATCATTTACAAGTAGTGTGTCATCATCTCAGTCTCTCTCAAAAAGTTAAATTATTAGAGAGATTGACCAACATTGTTAATATGGCATATTGATCAACACTCTTTCGTGCGTGTAACTCAGACCATACACACGAAATACAAGATGTGAACGTAGCCACGTCATAGACACTTGAATAGATTTCTGATCAAAAATAGATTTTTAAATTTCTAGGGCTAATTTAAAAAAAAAAGTACCAACTTTACCTTTAGTGATAATTTTAGTCTAAACTTTTTTTGTCTTAATAAAAAGCACCAGCTTTTATTCGAGTCCCAAATCTGACTCTCGTAATGTGAAATTTTCGAAGGCTAGATTTGGGATTTAAGTGAAAGTTTGTGATTATGAAATTAAAAAAAGTTTGGGCCAGAATTGTCACTCAAGGTAAAGTTGGTTTTTCTTTTTGAATTAGGCCCAATTTCTATTCCCTGAACGAGTTTCTGAATAGAGATACGCGTTTGATGACAATATAAAATTTCTCTTTCCGTAATAGAAATTCGTTTAATAACGATACAAAATTTCTCCCTCTTACGCTCTTTTCCATTTGTTGACGGGGGGTGGCGGCAACAGGCAAGGGCCACCGGAGTGAGGGGGCGGGGGGGCGTGCGGCGGGCGCATAAGGCTAGGGCAAACAATGAGAAGAGTTTTATTTCTCCTTTTGTTTCAGAAACATAAAAGTATAAAATTTTTATTTGTCATTTCTGTTCTAAACTTATTTCTAAACTAAAAATTTGTTCTAGTAATAGAAAAATGAAATTGCGTTACCAAACGGATTTATGTTATAAACCTATTCCCAGGAAAAGAAAAATAAAAAAAATAGAGAAACATAATGGTGATCATGTGTGCCTTTCGAGACTAGAAAAATCAGGCATGATTAAAAAAGGTAAGCCCCTTACAAGGAAAAAACAAAAAACGTAAGTTATTAGGAAATTAGGTGGCTATGTACTTCTGGCACACTAGTTGACAGTATCAACCGTTGGTTTTTAGCTTGTTTTGGGAGTAATCATCCCTTATTGCATTAGGTGAAAGAGTACAAGGTTAACTTACCACAAAAAGACAATATTAACTGTACACACCACCTTGACTCTCCAGTGTAATTTTAAATAACACCCAATACGTGCACGTTATTGTTAACATTGCCCACCCTCCAGTTGTCCTGATATCCACCCCCATCTTACGACATACAAGCTAACTAGAGCAAGCAATATTATCTTTAAACTGTCCTCCATTGAACCACTCAATCTCTCCTTCTTTTCTAACACAATTTGTTGAACCCTTGAGGTTGCAAGTAGCATCATATTAAAGCTAGAGCCAGAGCAAGATCTTCTTCAACATTTGAACATTCATATTGCACTTCATCATTCCTCCACATACCTGAAAATTTGCCATGATGATTAAAGTAATGTCCCTCTTGCTTTTTTGGTGCTTCACATCGCAGACGGTATCACTAATAATCCCTCGTCGCTATGAGTCGATTATCAACTTTGGTAACTCGATAAGTGACACCGGGAACTACCTTCTCATGGGTGCGCCTGCATATCCAGCTGTGGGGAAGCTCCCTTATGGTGAGACCTTCTTTAAGCATCCGACTGGTCGTTTCTCCGACGGACGTCTAATAGTTGATTTCATAGGTATTTGACTTTCGATTTCTTCTATCGATTTTTTCCACTGAAAAGACCATATCACATACCTTTCTCAGCTTTCGGCTGGGGCCAAGTGGGAGATGAGATTACATCTTGTGTTGCCTCTGTTTTTTCACCAAATTACTCGTACAGATTATTTGAGTGAAGAGCTTACACTATGCCTAAGTAAGAGGCACACTCATCGTTTGACAAGTAGACTCGCATGTTTGACAATTAAGTTTGCTTTAAAATTCACAAATAAATTGAAAAGAACCTTAATAATGTCTGAAGTTCACTAAGTTGATTAGCTATGTCAACAAGAAGATATTGCCTAGAACCAAGCGGATTTCAATTCACTTCATGCAAGCAATGATTTACTAAAAAAATGTGAATTGGATAGTGCAGCAGAGGCATTCGACCTACCATCATATCTACCGCCATATCTAGGAGTGGCAAATGGCTCTCATGTCCGTAACAATGGAGTCAATTTTGCAGTGGCTGGCGCTACTGCACTTGACCCTGAATTTTTCTATGCTCAAAACATTGGATGGACACTATGGACCAACAGCTCGCTAAACGTTCAGCTTGGTTGGTTCAAGAAGTTCAAGTCGTCTCTTTGCCACACAAAACACGGTGAACCCTTGTATTATGAGCTAATTACAAAGGCAACTATTATATTATGCAGAAGAAGGTTTATCTTTCTTTTTCATCGAATTTCTTTTCTGTCTTCAGATTGTGAAGAGTACTTCAGGAAGACTCTATTTCTTGTTGGGGAGATTGGTGGAAACGACTACAACTTTCAGTTCTTAGCTGGTGCAACCATCGATCAGATTCGACCGATAGTACCACTTGTTGTTGGAGCCATTGTCAATGCCACCAGCGTGTGTTAAATTCTTTTCCTCCATTTTACTAAGCAACTCTTGTTGATTTTCATACCCTTTTCTATGTTTGGAATTTGCTATTATATAGATGCTTATTGAAGAAGGTGCGACAGAGCTCGTGGTGCCTGGGAATTTCCCCTTGGGTTGCTCTGTGGTATATTTGGCTTTGGTTGAGAGCACTAATCAGTCGGACTATGATCCAACAAATGGGTGTCTCAAAGCTTACAATTCCTTCAGCGAGTACCACAATGAGCACCTCAAGCGAGAGCTTCAAGTGCTGCGGGAAAAGTATCCCAATGCAAGGATTATCTATGCCGATTACTACGGAGCAGCTATACCTTTGTACCTTGCACCAAAACTCTATGGTCTCTCTCTCTCTCTCTCTCTCTCTCTCTCTCTCTCTCTCTCTCTCAATGTTTTTACATGGTAATAGAAGAAAATTGACGGAGATAGTTAGTCATTTTTTGTCACCTTTTCGACAATAACAATATCAATAGATGGCGCTTATCTTCAGGATGATTATTTAGATTGCTTTTTATGTAGGTTTTTACGGAGGACCACGGATAGCTTGTTGTGGAGGTGGCGGACCGTACAACTACGACTTATCAGCTTGGTGTGGTGACCCTGGCTCGACCGCATGCGAAAACCCTTCGGCTTTCGTGAATTGGGACGGAATTCACTTCACCGAGGCTGCTTACCGGTACATAGCACAGGGTGTGCTCTGTGGTCCCCATGCATCTCCACCTCTCATGCCCTGATCAACTTCAAACAGCTCAGCTACATGTTGCGTTGATAAGCATTGGACTTTTCACATTCAGCGTGGTTAATATCTATTACATCTATGTACTTAGATTTCTATATTTAGCAAGTCTCACATGTAATTCGCATGATACATGAGGATTCACATGTATTGAACATAATTCACACGAATTGTGCGGATCATGCATGTAGTGGAACTGAAGCATTCATAATTCACGATGAGGCACATAAGTACGACCTCTCCAATCCAAGCCACAAGATGCAATTACTTTTTAAGTTTCTTTTTTTTTCCTCCTCCTCCATATGTGGCTTTTGAGAGAGCTGGCCGAGACAAGAGATACTTGATTGGAGAATAGGAAGGCAGAGTTGGATAATTTGGGTTTTCCTTAGTCAAATTATCTCACCTTAGCAGGCCACTCTAAGGATATAGGAATCTCTCAATCACTCATGATACCTAGGAATCCACCAAAAGGGATAGAGATTTAAAAGATAGAAGATAACAAGGGACAATTCTCATTGAGAAATTTCAATTCAATAAATCAACTAGGTTTTACAATGAAAGATCTCAAGGTATTTGTAACTGAGAACCTAGAACTCCTTTAAGTAACATTTAAGTAGGGGCGCCAGATGGGTGGATCCGGTCGAAATTGATCCAATCAATATTGATCCATTTAATCCATTTTGACCCATTTTCATGAATGTAAATTTCATGATCCATATCCGACCTGACCTATATTACTAAAACACATTAATATTCAACTCAATCTAGGAAAACCCTTACCCACCCATTTAACCCACTTGTGTATATGTTAGTTGGGTGTAAAATTAAAAAAGTAAATTAACACAATAAAAATTAGAAAATAAAGCAAAAAATGTAAAAAATTTCCAAGCTGTGTTTTGTTATTTGCGTTTGCCTTTTCGTCCAACACTTCATGTGCACTCTCGCTATCCAATCGTAAACATGACAAAGATCGAGCTTTCGCACTGGCTAACACCAGTCAGCTCAGAGAGTTGGCAACTCGAAATCGTAGCAACCAAAACAAGTGGCAAATTGCGGAACTCGGAACTGAAGACCGTGCATTCTCCTCATCACGAACCGAACCAACACTACAGCCCCTTAGCACCACAAGAACGGAAATGCAATCCTATCCACAAGCAAAAGAGACCCAACGGAATTGAACAAGGGGATGGGGTTGGTGGGTGGGGGGCGAAGACAAGCAGCGTTCCTCCAAGGCCTCGGCTAGAACGTTGCGCTCGATGTCCTCGATAACAATGCACGACTATATAATAAATGAATATCTGCTAATTTCTCCACCTCACCGATGTAATAAGAGACCCTAGATGTCTCGCCGCACCATTTAATGAAAGGGGACATTTCTCGTTGAACCGTAAGTGATCAATTAAAGCTTCACCTGCCCCAACTCCAATGGCATAAATTGGGAAGTTGAGGTCGCTCTCTGGCATAACATATAAGCTCAAGCTCAAGCTCAACCCTATGCAGACTCTTCCTTCATCGAAATTGTCTAGTGCTGCTCGACATGAAAACCATGGAGATACTGTTGGTCTTCTTTGTGCTCGGCTGCCTCGCTTCGGATCCCGTTTTGTCGAGCCCTCGACGCTACGAGGCAATCTTCAATTTCGGCGACTCTCTGAGTGACACCGGAAACTTCCTCCGTTCCGGGGCACTCGCATTTCCGGTCATCGGGAAGCTCCCTTACGGCCAGACTTTCTTCCGCCACGCGACCGGTCGATGCTCGGACGGACGCCTCATTGTCGATTTCATAGGTACTCCATGCTTTCTTCTCTACATTTTTCGATCACTCATATTATGTCCTATGCTATAAATGCATTTTGATCGATTTGTTAATGGCTCAAGGTTTTCGGTAAAACGATTGAACTGATAATTCAACAGCACACTACTACAATGCTATGTCCTATGAAAATAGTTGCAGCATCATGTTCAGAAATCATTTCGCATATGTAATCGCTGTTTCAGACAGCTTTATACATCTACTATAATTCCTACTTAAAATGCGATGAACGAACACCATCCAACTCCAGGTTTTCTATCTCATGATGAATGTGAAAATATGAGAATGCAGCGGAAGCATTCGGATTGCCTCATCTCCCACCGTACCTGGAAGTAGCCAAAGGTCCACGTGTCCGTACCGGAGTGAACTTCGCAGTTGCTGGTGCCACAGCACTCGACGCCTCTTTCTTCTATGCTCAGAAGGTCGGGCCATTGTTGTGGACCAATGACTCGTTGAGTGTTCAGCTTCGCTGGTTCCAGAATTTGAAGTCCTCTATCTGCACCACCAAAAAAGGTGAGATTCTACATTTCATTGTAAAAAAAAGAAACGAAAAGGGCAGATCGATCTTAAATTTCTTCATGTTTTTTTATTTTATGCCACATCATCACCTTCCGTCCAATCAATGCTGAGCGGCGGTCCACTTCAGCACTTCTACACATATTTCGATATCAAGGACCAACAGGAACAAAAAGACTACTATGGAGGGACCTAATCGTATAAAAAAAATGCTAAGGGGCCTGATTGAATATGCTGTAAAAATTCGGGACCAGTGGTGCCTTTATCCAAAAGAAAATACATTGATGTGTGCATCTATGTATATTGCGACACATGTCAAGGAAATAGCTATGAATAGTGAAATGCTTACACAGTCGTTTATGAAATTACTGCTGGTGGGGTTCATTTTGTGCATTAGTGATAGAGATGGCTGGCAATGGCCATCACCCCTCCTGCTGCTCATACTTAGGCTCCGTTTGCTTAGGGAAAATTACTTAGGGAAAAATGAATGATTTGAAAAATATTTTCCTAACAATAATCTTTTGTATTTCTTCAAATAATTAGTTAATAAAAGTATTTTCATTATTGATAACAATTTATATCTAAATATTTTCGTTAACGATAAAAATGGTTTTCGTTCATTCATTTTTTTAGGTGATTCAAGCGACCATTTTCTAGAAACTATTTTCCAAATCATTCATTTTCCGTGAAACAAACGCACCATAGTGTAGCTTTTATCAAATACGTCCCATTTTTTATTCTAATGGCATTCTCTTTTCATATCTTCCCCCATGAATTAGGTTTCACCCTCCAGCTTTTACATGGTTTCACATGAAAAGATGATACATATTGACTTTGATAATAATCATTGATGGATAAAGCTATTTTCGAGTTGCAGATTGTGGGGAGTACTTCAAGAAGTCTCTGTTCCTGGTGGGGGAGATAGGTGGGAATGACTACAACTATCCCTCCTTCGTCGGTGGAAGCATTAAACAGCTCCGTGCTTTGGTGCCGCTAGTGGTTGGAGCAATCGCTCGTGCTGTCAGTGTATGTCCCGCAAACTTACTCCGATTCTACACATTTGTCCCGCATAAAAGCGATCTGAATCATGTTCATTGATGGCCATAATAAACAGACATTTTTTTTTGGGGTATTGAAAGGGGCGACGCCCAAATGTTACACCAGAACTCGCCTAATGAAACTAGATCCAACCTAATTTCCTATCAATAAAGGATAGGCAGACATTTTTATGCAAGGACCTATGGAGAAGTTTATCATCGGTAGGAGCTTAATGTTAAATTGTCATAAAAGAAGTAAGGATCGATCTGAATCATCGTGTTTCAATCTTTGAGCACATGTCGTCAAAGCATTTTTCTTAGGCATGAGCTTAGCGTTCAATTCTCGTATTAAATTTGAAGGTCACTTTAAATATGAGCACATTGAATTTGAAAATGAAAAGGAAATGTCTGTTTCATCGCACTGTTTATGAAAAAACTTCTTATTTCAATAGTTCTACAAAAAGCAACTCCTTATTTCCCTTTTTATTTTCTTTTTCCGTTGAACCATCATAACCGTAACAGATGTTGATAGAAGAAGGGGCTGTGGATCTGGTGGTGCCGGGAAACTTGCCGGTAGGTTGCTCCGCGGTGTATCTAACTTTGTTTCGCAGCCCTAGCGGATCGGCCTACGACTCGAGAACCGGGTGTCTTAGGGCTTATAATGCTTTCGCCAAGTATCACAATAACTACCTCAAGCAAGAATTGCAAAATTTGAGAGAACAGTACCCTCATGCAAGAATCATGTACGCTGATTATTACGGTGCCGCCAAGCCTATGTATCACACTCCCAAACACTACGGTGAGCCTTCTTTTCATCTATCTTTTTCCCTTTCAGGTTTGGTCGTCGCATATTTTTTGCTGGACCTAGTAATTTTGTAATAAACCGTGAATTTACGACTTTTACTTTCCACATATCACATTCATCACCATTCTTTAAAGCAGACATACAACTATTTTTGAATAACAATCGAGTTCAATAATTCTAGATGATTTTGTATAAAAGAGAAAGAACTTGCGTGGTCTGTACATCTAATGAAAGCCAATTTTTTTTTTCTCTTTTACCCCACAATGTTCTCCCTTTACCCCTAGAGTTAAGATTGTGCTTAATCACAAATCACAATTAATGTTGGAATGACAAAAATGATGGACCTGTATAATGAAGCCGAATCTTAAAGCATGATTTTAGTGATGGAGTGCGGGTACAAGTGAATTGACCCAATATCCACCGGACTGTCTCATATAGATACGAACTGTCTCCTATATTAAATATTAGCATCTTGCAACCTAGGGGCGAATGAAAAAAAATCAGGAGTACGAAAACCCGAACCAGATTGGCCCGATTTTTCGGGCTTGTCCTATTTTTTTTATTTGGTTTGGTTCAGGCCTTTGGGTTTGATGTTTAGGCCCGGAATTGCTCGAACCAGCCTGAACTAATTTTTAAAAATAAAAAAATGCATTGTTTTCTCGCATTATGCGTAAAAAAGTATTATCATAACATTCTTTATCAGCTGTATTTAAGTACATGTGAGCTCGTTAATGAGTAACGTGTCTTTTGGGTCCTAAACTAAAAGCCAAAATCTAAAAAAAATACAATATCGATTTAAAACCCCCGTACTCTTTCCGGAAAGAAAAACCCTAGTAGTTCTTTTAATTTCATGAAATACACCAAATGACATGCATAACATTACGACCTTTTGGTTGATGTCGTTGACATGAACAGATACATAGTTGCACAATTTGTCCATAAGTCTTGTCATGATATAAATGAAGATGCCCTTCATAATTATCGAAGACCAGGAGATGAACCTGTTCATACAATTATGAGTGCACTCACGCAGGCTTTTATGGAGGGACACTGAGGGCTTGCTGCGGAGGAGGCGGTCCATACAACTTCAATAACTCAGCAAGGTGTGGCCACACCGGCTCGACGGCTTGCAGATACCCGTCGGCTTCTGTCAATTGGGATGGGATTCACTTGACCGAGTCTGCCTATCATCACATAGCCAAAAATTTGATCTACGGCGGCTTCATATCTCCGCCACTCCTATCTTAATTTAATTATTACCCTTTTCTTACAAACGAGGATGCTGAACTGAATGTTCTGTTTTGTGGAGCCTTATACTTTGCCTTTCCGTCTTGTCTTTTCAAGCCTTAGGGTTTGGATTGAGGATTGGAGTGCTGCAATTTAGTATGATGGTATAATTGAATCGTTTGTGAACCTACGGAAATTAGAAATTTAGTAGGGCGTCATGACATATCTAAATAAAGATAATGGGTTGGCGTATTTTTCGCGGGATATTTTCAGGGAAAGAGGATTACTATATAATCTATTCAGAGCATGTCGTATATGGTCCCTCCAAGATGTTAGACCCGGTACACTGCACTCGATGACGATGTGATACCGATTAGATATCCGCTTGGCCTTGCTAGTACCAAACTTAGGAGTCAAACAATTGAAAAAGGGTTGTAGATTAAACATCAATTTGATTCCTAATTTCTCTTTCTATGATGATAATGAGCAGTTGGCGGTCGGATTTACTCCAAAGATTTGTCTGGATAGCCTTAATTTTCCCCCAGATAGTAGGATGTTAAATCCATTATATTCTAATCCATCTGGAAACTTAGAAATCTGATTTCTTTTCCCCAGTAACCAAAGGAAGACGGCATCTGCCCGATAGAAGTTTCTACAAGACGAAGTCAACCTAGATTTTATTCCAATTTAACTTCCCCAAATTTTCAGCAACAAATATACAAAAGACATAACATAATTTATAAACTTCCCGATGTCTATCATAGTTTGGATAGGTAGTAGTATAAAAATAGTGAGTTTTTCCAAGTCAAATGATGATAAAAATGCATTCGGACAATTGCGTCTAACAAAGGGTTACTTGCACATTTCCGGATTAACGAAGCTTGATGCTAACTTACACCCTATTTGTCTTGATCAAATTTACTATATTTGATGTTTTCTCATATTTTGCCGTATTGGACATGATGAAAGGTAATTGTGTCTAATTTTCTCATTAAATCTGTCAGCCGTTTCTTTAAACTTGGTATACTAAAATTTGCTCATATACATCTTCATCTATCATGAACTTGTACAACGATTATTAGGATAATATTAAGATTAGGCCAACACAATTAGGCATTAAGTATCTACGATTGTGGACGATTAGGCAATTATAATAGCAACAAATAAAGTGACGTTCAATAATGGATAATTAATCTTGGACCTTTGTATTTGAATACAAGTTCGTTGAAGCACACAACAATTTCCGCATACGAATTGGAGTATTTGTTGTCAAACAGGAAAGTCCAACATGAGCTTTGATTTTGGACTTTGATTCGGTCAACATGTCAGAGAAAGAATAAGAAGAAATAAATCTAAGGTACGGTTCCCTGCATAAGTCGGTTTGGGTTATTTGTGATTTCTATCTTTATATATTCTTGGACTTTCTCTGGCGAGCCCGCATGGGTGTGCCGTTGTTGATAAATACTTGCAGAAAGTGAAGGAAGCGCCGCGGTTGACGTGAAGAGTCTTGAAGCGCCGTTTCTAACGAGTGCTTGGCGTGGGTCTTTCTTCATGAATTATGTTGAATTTATGTCTCGAGTTTGAATCGTTTACGGAACGTGACTCGCTTGAATAAATTTCATATTTATCGTGAAGATATATATATTTTCTTTTGGAGAAAATATTCAAAATTGCCTATAAAAGAATTCCTTCTGATGGCACGTAAAGTGAAGGACGTCTTCAACAGAGAAGGAAAACTGGTGGGCCCTGGTCAAAGTTATTCTTTGTTGACTCTTGGAATTAAATAATAAAATAAAAGAGAAAGAAGGGGTACACATATAAAAGGCATATTATCTTCTGCGAGGGTTTCAAGCCGCACACGCACAGAGCCGCACTAGCCGCGAACGCCCACGAAGTTCTCAGAGAAGAAGCGCCGCACGAGAACAAGAGAAAAGAACGTACAGTCGTTCTTGGTTTCGATCGTACGAGAGCGTTTTGCTTTGGGCTTCAACACGCGGAGATTTGTGCAGTGAGTTTATTTTATCCAATTAAGTTGTTTATTCGTAAACACTTTGGGTTTGGGCTTAAATCTAGGTGTGGGAAACACTCGAGCGTTTTGAGCGAATTGTAACTCTGATTCTCTGATTATAGTGGATTATTTGTTACTGGCTCTCCTCGTGGATATAGGTACCGATATTCGGACCGAACCACGTAAATCTCTGGTGTCCTTTATCGTTCCTCGTTTATTTCTCTGGTATTTTCGCATTGACTTAATTTGCAAGATCCTGTCGTTTCCGCGTTATATTTCCAACAATTGGTATCAGAGCTTGAGGGTTGGATTTTCTGGATTGTGATTTGGGGCTTCTGCTTGTCTGATTATTATATGGAAATTCTGCTATTGCAATTATGTCTGGAGCGAAAGTTGAGATTGAGAAATTTAACGGGAGGAACAATTTTGGGTTATGGAGCGTCAAGATGCGTGCGCTATTGACAACCCAAGGTTTGGCCAAAGCATTAGATGGCGAAGATGGATTACCCATTATAATGAAAGCAGCTGATAAAGCAGACCTAATGGAGAGAGCAAAGAGTATAATCCTGCTGAATTTATCGGATGAAGTGTTAATAGAGGTGGTTGAGGAGAAGGATGCCGCAGCATTGTGGGCAAAATTACAGGCACTCTATGTAACGAAGGGTTTGAACAATCGCTTGTACATGTTGAAGAGGATGTTTCAATTTCGATATACTGAAGGTACGTCGATCAGATCCCACCTAGATGAATTTAATAAACTCATGATGGATTTGAAGAACGTCGGTAAGATACTTGATGATGAGGAACAGGGCATGATGTTATTGGCTTCTTTACCTGAATCATGGGAGCACTTTACTGATTCACTACTACAGGGGCGTACTACTATTACCTCGGAAGAGGTAAAGTCCGCATTGTTTTCTAAAGAGTGGCAGAGGAAGTTGCGAGATGACAGTCTAGCGCAGGATGTAGCGCGAGGACTAGTGATTCGAGGTAGAGAACAACATCGAGGGTCTAGTAGCAGCAGAGGTAAAAGCAGGTCAAAGTCACGCAATCGAAAGTCTAAGGGACGCGTGAAGTGCTTTGAGTGTCACGAGGAGGGGCACATCATGAGAGATTGTCCGAAGCGGAGAAATAGAGGTGACAAGCAGAATGCCACAAGCAGTGTGGAAAACGTTGCTGAGGAGAGCACTAGTGATGCAGAGGCCGTCTTGTGTGTGACTACTGGTTCGTTAGGAGACGAATGGGTGCTAGATTCGGGGTGTTCTTATCATATGACGCCTCATAGGAACTGGTTTACTACTTACCAGACTGCAGATGGTGGTAGAGTTCTGATGGGGAATAATGCAACCTGCAATGTTGTGGGGATAGGAACAGTTCGGATTCAGATGCACGATGGGGTGGTGCGCACACTGACAGACGTGAGGCATGTACCAGAGCTCAAGAAGAACCTTATTTCTTTGGGGACACTCGATGATATCGGGTGTAAGTACACCGCTGAAGGTGGAGTGCTGAAGGTCTCTCGAGGTGCCATGACAGTGATGAAGGGGAAGAAAGTGAGTTCTCTCTATCATCTACTAGGAGAGACCGTGACCGGAGCTGCTGCAGTTTCATCAGGTGAGTCAGATTCTGACTTGACTCAGTTATGGCATATGCGTTTGGGGCACATGAGTGAGGCAGGTATGACGATGCTGAGTGATAGGGGGTTGTTGAAGGGTCGAGAAGACGGGGAAGCTGGACTTATGTGAGCATTGCATCTTTGGGAAGCGGCGTCGGATTAAGTTTACAACAATTGTTCATTCGACCAAGCGACCGGTTGAGTACATTCATTCGGAGCGTGCGGGGCCCGTCTCCGGTTCCTTCAAAAGGAGGTGCCCGATATATGTTGACATTTATCGACGACTACTCTAGAAAGGTATGGGTTTACTTTCTGAAGCACAAATCTGATGTGTTTGATCGGTTCAAGAAGTTTAAGGCATTGATTGAGAAGCAGTCAGATAAACAGATCAAGTGCCTGAGAACCGATAACGGCATGGAGTTCGTGGTAAAGATTTTACCGAGTTCGCGAGAAAGAAGGGATTGTGAGACACCGCACAGTGCCCGGACACCACACAGAATGGCGTTGCGAACGGAAGAACGAGAACTTTCTTTGGAGCGAGCTCTGAGCATGCTTTCGCATGCGAGAAATAGGCAAGGAATTTTGGGCCGAAGCGGTGAACATGGCATGTTACTTGGTTAATCGATCTCCATCATCTCGCTATAGAGTGGAAGACTCCGAGGAAGTATGGTCGGGAAACCCGTTGATTACTACGGATTACGAGTATTCGGATGTCCTGCGTATGCTCATGCAAGTGATGGTAAGCTTGAGCCGAGGGCGAAGAAGTGCATATTTCTGGGTTATGCACATGGGGTGAAAGGCTACCGGTTGTGGTGCACTAATCCCAGATCACCCGATTTTCTAATCAGTAAAGACGTAATCTTCGACGAGACTGCAGTGCTTCAAAGGAGGGGTCTTGAGACACAACCAGCAGAGCGACGGATCGTGGTGTCGGTAGTGAGGTGGAGATTCGGTGGAGACTCCGGAGACCTCGAAGGTAACGAAGGTGAGATTGCAGATGAGGCTACGTTCCCGAAGTCGGTGATAATGAACAACCAATGAGCCACAAAGACACTATAGCCGCGGGTAGACAGAGAAGGCAAATTAAACCACCGGTACGTTATGGTTATACAGATATTGCTTATGCATTGACTGTAGGTGACGAGGTGGAGACAGATGAGCCTTCGTCTTACTCTGAGGCGATGGCTAGTTCTGAGTCATCGCAGTGGCTAGGGGCTATGAGTGAAGAGATGGAATCACTTTATCAGAATCAGACATGGGAGTTGGTCAAAGTACCTAAGAGCCAGAAGATTGTCGGTAGCAAGTGGGTCTTTAAACGGAAGGAGGGCATTCCCGGTGTCGAGGCAGCGAGATATAAGGCGAGACTTGTGGCGAAGGGGTATACACAGCGGGAGGGCATTGACTACAACGAGGTGTTCTCTCCTGTGGTAAGACATACTTCTATTCGTGTTTTACTTGCCTTAGTTGCTGCACAAGATCTCGAGCTGGAGCAGCTAGATGTGAAAACAGCGTTTCTTCATGGTGAGTTGGAGGAGCGGATTTACATGAGGCAGCCAGAGGGATTTGCTATTCAGGGTAAGGAAGATCATGTATGTTTATTGAAGAAATCTTTATATGGGTACAAACGTCTCCTAAACAAAGTGGTATAAGCGTTTCGATTCTTTTATGGCTAGTCAAAACTATTCTAAAAGTCATATGAATAGCTGTGTTTACTATAAGAGATTGGAGGATGGGTCTTTGATATATCTGTTACTATATGTTGATGATATGTTGATAGCAGCTAAGAGCATGTCTGATATTGTTATGCTGAAGAGGCAATTGAGTGCTGAATTTGAGATGAAAGATTTAGGTGCTGCAAAGAAAATATTGGGTATGGAGATTTTGCGTGACAGGACTGTAGGAATTTTACGTCTTTCTCAGAAGAAATATATTGAGAAGATTGTTGCACGATTTAATACAGTCAGCGAAATCTGTAAGTACACCTTTGGCGATGCACTTTAAACTTTCAGATAAGTTATCACGGCAGACTGAGAAGGAGGAGGAGCATATGTCCCGTGTTCCTTATTCTAGTGCAGTGGGTAGTATTATGTATGCTATGGTATGCACTAGGCCTGATATTTCACAAGCAGTGAGCGTTGTTAGTCGTTATATGAAGCGTCCTGGTAAAGCTCATTGGGAAGCTGTGAAGTGGATCCTCAGATATTTGAAGGGGACAGCAGACGTTGGAATTGTGTACCAAAGGGACAATAATGGCAGTGAGGCCACTGGTTATGTGGATTCGGATCACGCAGGTGACTTGGATGAACGAAGGTCTTTAGCAGGGTACGTATTTACGCTAGCAGGTGGTGCAATTAGTTGGAAGGCATCCTTACAGGATCACGTTGCCTTGTCTTCGACTGAGGCAGAGTACATGGCACTGACCTTTATAGCGAAAGAGGCGATATGGCTAAAAGGTTTACTCTCGGACTTTGGGTTAGATCAGAATAGTGTTGATTTATACTGTGATAACCAAGGTGCGATATATCTGGCATATAATCCGGTTTATCACGAGCGAACGAAGCATATCGACATTAGGTACCACTTCATCCGAGATGTCTTAGCGAAGGGCGTGCTTGTTGTTAACAAGATTGCGACAGCAGAGAATCCAGCGGACATGATGACTAAGCCTGTTCCTTTGGCGAAGCTCAAGCTCTGCTTGAGCACAATTGGCGTCTGTGGAGAGTGAGCGCCCGTCGGGGCGTTGGGAGAGCTAGCATGGATGATGAGTACTATAACTTGGCTACAAACGTCGAGCCAAGGTGGAGAATTGTTGAATTTATGTCTCGAGTTTGAATCGTTTACGGAACGTGACTCGCTTGAATAAATTTCATATTTATCGTGAAGATATATGTATTTTCTTTTGGAGAAAATATTCAAAATTGCCTATAAAAGAATTCCTTCTGATGGCACGTAAAGTGAAGGACGTCTTCAACAGAGAAGGAAAACTGGTGGGCCCTGGTCAAAGTTATTCTTTGTTGACTCTTGGAATTAAATAATAAAATAAAAGAGAAAGAAGGGGCACACATATAAAAGGCATGTTATCTTCTGCGAGGGTTTCAAGCCGCACACGCACAGAGCCGCACTAGCCGCGAACGCCCACGAAGTTCTCAGAGAAGAAGCGCCGCACGAGAACAAGAGAAAAGAACGTACAGTCGTTCTTGGTTTCGATCGTACGAGAGCGTTTTGCTTTGGGCTTCAACACGCGGAGATTTGTGCAGTGAGTTTATTTTATCCAATTAAGTTGTTTATTCGTAAACACTTTGGGTTTGGGCTTAAATCTAGGTGTGGGAAACACTCGAGCGTTTTGAGCGAATTGTAACTCTGATTCTCCGATTATAGTGGATTATTTGTTGCTGGCTCTCCCCGTGGATGTAGGTACCGATATTCGGACCGAACCACGTAAATCTCTGGTGTCCTTTATCGTTCCTCGTTTATTTCTCTGGTATTTTCGCATTGACTTAATTTGCAAGATCCTGTCGTTTCCGCGTTATATTTCCAACAAATTACATCCATGAAGTTAATGTGTTGAAGCCGAGAAATTCTTGTGATACGAATTTATGTATAATTTCTTCGTGGGATTGAGAGATTACTTCGCGAGGAATTATGAGTCGAAACACTACGTGAGTTATTTGGTGTAATTGGGGCTTAGAAAACACTGAAAGTATTTGAGTAACTCGAGTGTGGTTGTAATCTCGGTGATCTATAGTGGAATTCGTTGCTGCTCTTACCGTGGACATAAGTTATTACAGCCGAACTACGTAAATCTGGTGTTCGATTTGTTTTCTTGTTCTATCAATTTACAGTCCGATCGCTTGCTTCCGCAGCAAAGTCAATGAATCTACCAGCATAATTAATGGTTAAGTATCACGACTGTGCATAGTTAAACAGTTCAGCTCCACAGAATTGGCTTAATGGTTAAGTAGCAGATGAATGTGTCTATTATTCGTGTTATGTCTCGTTGTGATAATTGAGAACACTACATTAGAGAGACAATCCAAACAAGTAAATCATCAAACCACTAGTATTAAGAGGTTAACATTTAATAATATCTCTAACAATAAAGGTAACTATTTTCATGACCATGTCCAAGCAAATGTGATATCCAATTATCACTTGCATTTCACGTAAGTTCTTGAACATACATAGCAAGTCTTAATTTATAGAACCTTATATCTATCAAGGAGAAACATACCACCAAACAAAGGTGTGTGCTTCTTTTCAATTCCACCATTAGTTTATAATGCAATCCAAACATAGATAATATGTGAAGGACGCATATTAGGCGTATTATATGCATGATTGATCTACTCAAGAATCCCAAATGGGACCAAAAGCGGCGATCCCTTTGTTCTTGCACGCATTCACCACGTCTCTACTTCCCTCGGGGTTGCTCGTGACGATCACCACCTCAGCACCCCACTTCTTCGCCATGTCCACGCTCATCTCCGCCACGTTTGGCCGCCCGTGCACCGCCGTGTCGTGCACGATCACCTTGTCTCTCGGGTGGCAGCTAACCATCTCCTTGATCTCCTTGCCGAAGTTTTGCTCCATGTTCTTGGCCACCCATAACACGCATACACTTGCTTTGCATGGTTGGAGGAGAAATGATAGGAAGACGCAAATGCCGGAGCCGGTGGCAACCAGCAGGACCCGGTCGTACATGTTGACAAGGTAGGGTAAGCCTGCGAAGTGGACCTGGCGGACCCAGAGGTGGGTTGGAGGGTTGGCGACGAGGGACTTTGTGAAGTCGCCGACAGCTCCGGCAAGCATCATGTGCTCATCCTTGCCGTCGGAGATGATGCCGAAGGCATGCCACTCGGATAGCGGGGATGGGCTGATCCGGCCCAAGATGCCTGTGGTTGGAAAAGTACGCTTATATGTTTGGCACATTCAAACTCCAAATATAAAATTTTGGTTAAAAAGAAATCCATATATAAATTCTCAATCTAAGAAAACTATAGATAGATTCGAGTTACCATAGAAAAATATGTGTGATTGACTTACCAAAAGAAATTTTACGATTGAGATCTTGAAGTTTAAAAAAATTTTCAAATAATTATATACCTGCTTTGACTCCCCCGTGGAACTTGATTATGGAGGCATGCCCCGAAGGAGAAGACACCTTCACCAGCACTCTCCTCACCGTCACCCACGGTATTATTATTAGAACCGTAATCCCCACCGTGAACCAAGACTCTTGTTGCCTCACTAACCTCAATCCCAGCTCGTCACTCTTGTAACTCTTCGTCCTTGGGTCGTACGCGACGGTGAGGACAACGAACCCCCAGAGAAGGCCGAGGGCTGACCACCCTGCGAAGCGGTGTGTCCGCTCGAACACGTTGTGGTGCAGGTGGCGGACGAGCGGGAACGCTGCCAGCGAAGAGAGGGCGATGAGCACGAGGATCACCAATGCGACCCCGACGATCTCGGGCGACGTGCTGTCCCGGTCTTTTAGGGTTAGGACTAGGGCGTAGACCAGCCATGCAAGGGACGAGACACCGCACCCGCTGTGGATCCCGCCGAGGCTCTGCAGGAGGGAGGTCGTGGCCGTCTTGGCGAAGAGCGGGATCCATGAGTGGCCAAGTAGCTCCACGGCGAGCCAGAAGGCAATGCGCAAGAAGGCCTCACTCCGGCACAGGGTGAGCGCGAAGATGTTGGCTATGGAGAAGAGGGCGGCGCGGTTCCTTGCATAAGGGAAGTGTCCAGTCGCCGCGAGGACGAGGGCGACAACATTTAGTGTCAAGGAAACGACGAACAGCCGCTTGTACACCGTGAACAGCCCTTGGTCAAGGAGGATGACCGACAGCCTTGACAACTCTTGGCCTCGGGCGGGCTTCGAAGGAGGCGGGTCGATTTTTGAGGCCACTTCAGCTTGTTTTCTCTCGGAGTGTTTTTCAGGCTCGATGAAAGTGCCTTCCTCGAGCATCTCCAAAACAACTTCATTGGGTTCATCGTCATCGTCGTCATCGAGGTCAAGGTCACAAAAGTGGCTACTCACTTTGCTCGTCGATCGCTGAATCAGCGACGACGGAGCAACCCTAGACGAGCTTCCACGAGGCCATGGAAGCCAAGATCTTTTGCTTCCGTAGTTGGTCATCTCGGGAGCTCTCTGAGGTGTGGTAATGGCAAATGGATCTGCATGAGGCTTGATCTCAAATGCCACGCCTCTACAACTCAAAAACCTCACTGGGCTTTCCATGAGGACTATGCTTGCTTTGTGCACTATGCTTTGTGGGTGCGTTCGTGAGGAATCGGGTAGAGTTTATATAGAGGGTTGGTGGTTGGTGTACGAGCAAATGCCATGTGCGAATAATGCCAATGAAGGATGAGCGTGCGTGGTTAGTCATTGAGAGAGTTCACTGTGATTAGCATTCGTTTTCAATTTGAATTGGTCAAGCATTATTTGGCCAAACCAATCACAGGCGATGTTGCTCTTGAAAGTCGAAGTTCGATAGATCTAGTAAAAATTACTGCGATAACGGTCGTTGGTGCGTCATAGAAGTAGGTTGGCGTATGCGGAACTAGTTATGAACGTATGTACTCGAGACCGTGTCAAGTGGCCTTGCTTGCGTGCCAAATTGGATCAATAATTTATCCATGAATCTTTCTGTAATTTTCAGCAAAAAAAAAAAAAAAAACATTCCAAATGTTGAGCTTGACAAAGAATTTGGTTATCTCCAATTCCATTTGGAGAAATATTACTAGTCTTACGTTGTGATAGACTTTAACTTGTTTGAATAATCTGTCTTTGAGTATCTTGTTAGAGAAGGATGTGTCTCGAGTGGACCCCTTTAAGTGATTGTATTTTGACTTTTGAGCAATAGAGATGAAGTATGTCGTCGGCCAAAGAAAAAATTACATGATCGAGCTGAATTCCCAATATTACAGAAGTTCAAAAGAGAAATTAATCGGAAGACACCTTTTCATCGGTGTTATCCAATGCCAAATATTCATCAGAGAACAAATCAGGTATTTTAAAATTTGATTTTAATCATTCAATGCAGGATTCTAACATATTATTGATTATTTTGTCCACTTTGATCGAAACGAACTTATATTCCGAAAAGGTGGTAACACGCTTGAGTTATGGTTTAGTCATTCGGCAAGACACTTATTGAATTATTATTTGCTTTAATTCGTCTCATACTAAGCATGATACTTTTGTCTTTTGGAATACAAGTAGGCATTTTCTCAAGAGATCACCATCCTAGTAGTGCTTTCACCTAAGCGCACTTAAAATTGAAGTTTCGATATAAAAGCAAGTTGTTACCGAATGGCATCTTTTACGAGACATTCTCAATTTATATATCTTACACAAAAACACTCTCCCTTGTGGTGTTCAGATCAGTTGATGCTTGTCTCCTTCACCATCCATGAAGCCCTGGAGGAGCCTCCTGGTCAGCTTGCCTTCATGACGACTTCGTTCCCTCGTCAAATTAGGTTGTTATAGTCCCATTGATTTTCGTGGAGACCGTACTTGAACCACACACCTACTAGAGGGTGTTCTACTGTGATTACCATATGATGACACCATGGCCTACTACTCATGGTTTTATCTAATTTGGCTCACCTCGGACTGACGCTCATGGTTTTGTTTTTGATATGCAATTAGGTAGGTTTCAAAAGATCGCTCACTCTAATAGTGTTCTCATAAAACATGCATAACAATAGGGTTTCAATATTAAATTAAGTGATCACACTTAAAGGTGAATTTTTTCTATGTATTGACAAATTGTAGGTAACAATCCCTGCATCAAGAGAATATATCCTCCCCAAATAAAGTGAATAATTGGGCACATATGACTAATTTATGAGTTATGAAGCGGCTAGTCCCCATATCCAGTCGAATCAGAAAATTTCTATGTTTTGAACCAGAACATTGACAAGACTTCGGTTGAGGAATGAGAACTTCTCAAAATCCAAATAATTAAGAGGACGAGATTGGTTTTTCTTATCTCTGAAACGACTTTGATGAAGACGCTGAATTTCCAATGTAGAAACTAAAAAAACTCATGCGGAAAAAAGATGAAGATAAAAGCTTGTTCGATTTTGTCGCTCAGTCCAAAATATGTTGAGTCCAAAGTGGATTGTAGAATTGTAGAAGCTACAAAAAATAAAAGGAAAATAGAAATCACAAGTGTCATAACTTTCGTACAATGGTCACTTCGGTGTGATAACTTTTCAATCAATTACATCAGTATCCGAAAATTCCGACATGGTGTCAAAATTCACGGCACCTGTGGTGAATATTCTTTTAAAAGTTATAGCACTCAAATGATCGTTTAAAAAGTTATGGCATCAAAGTGAATGTATTTTAAAAGTTGTGGTACTTGTGGTGTCTTTCCCTAAAGATAAAAGGAGAAATTTTTAACCTACTTCAAATCTCCCCAGGAAAATGGCATTGACTTGTTCACGAAAAGGGTAGCCACAAAATTGGGAAAAAAAAGTCAGGTAAGAACTAAGGAAAAAAAACTCAGTCAAAATAGAGCCTTTTAGCTTTGTAACTTCTGGATCAGACTCTCTTCACTATTAGATTCCCATTCCTCTCTTCAAAGTTTGGTCACTATCTTCACCATTGAAGTTTGGTCACTTCAAGTTGCCCTAAAGGCCAATCAGGTTGTTGGAAAATTCCGACATGGTATCCAAATTCACAGCACTTGTGATAAGTGTTCTTTTGTAAATTACAACACTCAAGTGATCATTCTTTAAGAGTTTTGATACTTAAGTGAACGTTTTTTTTTTTATGTTATGATGCTTGTAATGCCTTTTCTTTGATAATAAAAGTACAAATTTAACCTACTTCGAACCTCCCTCAAGGGAATGGCATTGACGAGTTCACGGGAAGGGTGGCCACAAAATTGGAAAACAAAATAGGGTAAAGAAAAACCAAGTCTTTCTAGCTTTGCCACTTCTGGATCAGTCTCTGGTCAACAATACATTCCATAACCTCTTGGAGAAGCAAAAAGCTGACGAGGTCAAAGGCGATTGAAACTTGAGGATTTCCTGCATTCATCTAAAGCAAACGTGCACGAACATCGAACTATTGTAATAGTTGGGTCCCCAGATAAAATTAGAAATGATCAATGTTGGAAGTTGAGGTGTCATGGTATTAATTTACTGTGCCTTATTAACTAGGTAGTCTACAGCGATAAAAACTGTACATTATTCATTATATTGTAAAGTTGCCGAAACTCATTAATATCGAATCAACGGAATGTCCATTCGAACTAGGAGGGCTTATCCTAAAATTATGCAAAAGAGAATAAAATAGTTTCATTTCAGGGTTCTAGGGTTCATTTGCGGGGACAAACAATGTGTATCTACACATAAGAATTGACATTAGCTCCATATTATTCTAATTGTAGAAGGAAATAAGTTAGTTAGGATATAAAATTACTCTATTTTGGGGGTGTAACTTTCAAGGATGCTATCCTTTCACCTAATTCAAACATTCCAATTCAAATTTATTACCAAAATTAGTTAAAGAGTTTATTTTGTATAGACTATCTAAGATGCAATGCGGTACGGAGACACAAAAAATTGACCATTATAAAAATTTCACTATATCGCCTTATTTCAAAATATTAGAATCTTAAATTAATGAAAATAAATTATTATTATAATATGAAAAAAATTTCCATATATATATGAAAAGAGAAAAAAGATTTCAAGATATAATTACTTTTGGCACGATAATTTATAAGATATAAATTGAAAACTTGAAAAATTAAGATACGTGAGAGATAAAATGAAATAGTGAATTTACCCATTCCTCTATATCTATCAATTAAGCAATTGATGATAGTTTGCAAAAGAAAAGAAAATAATGATTTTTCTAAAGTAGGATGTCCTCTTTGTTTTATATAACAATATATATGAAATTGGCCATTGTAAATGGAAGAAAGCACAGTTGTTTATACATATGTAGTCAATCACAATCATTAAAAAATACAAAACTTCTTTCATCCTTGGATAAATCAAACTTTTATTATTTCGATGAATTGAATTCCAATTTTCAGTGACCCTGTATACTATATATGGAGTTAATGTTTCCCCTAAGAATGCACATGTAAATTACTACATTAACATGATCGTAATAAGGAATTTTTTGCTAGAAACATAATAAAGGTCTTGTTAACGAGTGTCCTCGAGATATTAATTAATCCATAAAAATGCATTTCTTTTGTGTTATATATCGCAAATGCTTCAAAAATTGAAATTTTGATTTATGCTTAACAAGTTTATATTCGAGGGATACTCTACAATGATTTCGATAACAAGCCAAAAAGAAATATCTTTGTCTTCCCAATATGGTCGTTGCACATTAGCCATGGGACTCATTTACAACTACAGCTTGATAATGATTGGCGTCTTAGTCTTCCTCTTAATTTTTTTTTCACCCTCCATACGCTACTTTTAATCATTACTCAATCTAAAAATGCAAGTCCATGAAATTATGTTGCTTATCCTGCTTTGATGATCGGCCAAGAATTTGTGATTTCCTTTAAGGTTTTTCCAATGAAAGGGAGAACAACTTTAAGATAAGATATTAGAGATATGAGAAAAGCTTTAAGTTGGTCGCTATTGTATCATTACTAAATGGTTGTGCATCATCCGCTACATCTCTGATCTCTCATTGTGAGGATAAAGTGCGAAAGCACACAACCACAAGCGAAGAACAAAATCATATTGACTTATACGATTTGGCAATTTTTGTTTTAAATCCACAGACGCAGGAAGAATTATTTTACCATAGCGATATATAGGAATTTCAAGACAAAATTCGAAATTCTCTAATACCCAAAGCTCCGATCACAAAGAGAGTATTTCGTATGTCGATTACATAAAGACCCTTTTCCCCGATATCAAAGAGTCGCTCAAGAATATAATCTCATCATCTTAGAGAAGCATTTCTGTTGAGTTTTGAAGGGGGACTATGAAAGATATGTCTTGTGCAATATATCTTTAATCATAGCCTTCACATTCTCTCACTTCTTTGTTCTTTCTATTTTCTTGTTTGATCATTAAATTTTGTGGCTCACCAAGTGATTTTTTGAGCTTTTCGATTGTACTCGTTATTGAAGATAGTGAAACCCCTCTCTCTCCCCATGGTTTTTCCAGTTTTGGGTTTCCATGTATATCTTGTGTCTCGTGTGGTTTGATTTTGCTTTCATCCTTGCTATTTGTGCTTTGATTTGTGCATCTCTTGGTATTGTTCTGCAACAGTTTCCAATGTATTTAGAGAGCAAGAAACCCTAAAACCTTCTACAGACATAATCTCTTTAGTTTAATAAATTAAATTAGTTAGTTCATATGTAGTTGATTCATATGTAATTGCAATCAGATTTAAGGGTTGAAAGCACACTAATTTAGTAAAAATTAAACGTTTTGGGTCCGTTTGTCTCCCGAAATATAAATGATTAAGAAAACAGTTTTCAATTGTTTTGATCTGTAGTAATTAGTCAAGATAAAATGCATTTAGTATCAATAGCAATTTATGCTTGAATATT